TTGTAAGCCTGACGATCGTGGAGTTAAAGAACCACCAAAACATATGTAGCAAGTAAAATTTGACCCTACCATACATGTTAAGGATTGTCTAACAAGGTGCGTTTTGACCATTCTTCGACGAATGGCAAAATGTTGTTGGTGTTGATAGTGAACGTACTTAAAACAACTTTTTCGGGCTGCTTATACAAAATTATACATTCATTATGACAGCTAGCAAAAAAGTGTACCCCCCAAAAGCCCCCCCCCCAAAAAAAAAAAAATTCCTGTGGCGCATACGCGCCCCTCTGGGCACCCCTGAATGAAATCAGTGAAAGTGATGGATGGAGAATATATGTGTAGACCAGAAGAAATAGCAGAAACTGCAAAACATGTTTCATTAAACCTGTTAACTGAAAATTCAATAAAGAAGTACAGTATGAACTACCATACAAACTGTTTTCCTCTTGGTGCGTAAGTAAGAAAGTTACAAAATTGTCAGAAAATGTTTTATTGGCATAATTTGCAGAACAATCAACTTGTTTATTCGATTTATACTGATTATTACTGTTTATACTTGTACTCTTGTAAATAAGTAACACTTAAAGATACTACGACTACAATCAGCTGGTTCATTATTTCCCATTCCATTCAACGCTTGGGTTTAACCTAACCTAAAAACATGTTGTATAGTGTTTGAAAGACTAATTATTTATATGCTTTATAGTGACTGTAGGAAAAATATAATGTGTAACACAAGCGCAAATGTCCTTTGCTGCACTCGAGATACATTCCGTTTTCTCTCGTGTGCAGCAAAGTGCCACTTTGCTCACTAGTTAAGTTACACAAATCAAATAACTGTTTCAGACTTCCTAGTCGTATGACAAAGTTCTCTATACAAAAATAAAGAACAACTCAAGTTCTCTCCAATGGTACCAACCACTTCCTGTTAAGGCCAAAATTACGACTTGTAGATTTTCTTCAAGATAACATGATTATATATATATACACACATGATTAAAAACTATATACAGGGTGTTTCACGGGAACCCTGACAAACTTCGGGAAATGGTTCCTGGGGTCAAAACTAGAAAAAAATGTCCTGTAAGCATATGTCCTAAACTCAATCGTTTGCTATTTATACGTAAAAATGTGTTTTTTTAGGTTTTCAGTGTATCTGTTGAACATTTTAACCTCTAGATTAAAAAATCTTCAAGATATTTTAATTAAACTTGCATAGCTAGATAGAATATTAAATTACAAAGAGATTTCATTAATATTATGTGCACACATGTTGGGTATGACTGAGAAAAATGAGTTAAAAAATCAAATTTTCCCGAAAAAATGATAATCCAAAAATATTTTTTATTTTTGACAGCTCTTCATACTTAAACCATTTAGTCGTTTGGCTTGCAACTTTACCAAAAGTTGTAGAATTTAATGGAGAACAATAAAATATCAACTTGTGTATACCTTTTATGGGGATTATCTTTATCAAAATCAAAAATATTGTAAGGTAACACATATTAATTTAATTTGAAGGAATAAACAAAAATGTATATTTAGCTTAGTTATAAACATACCTCACTAAAAATTCGTATATTGGTTTTCCTAGTTGAGAAGGTTCGTATAAAGGCCTAAAATCCTCCATCCTTTTCATTTTTTATGGTGTAAAACAAGCATACTCACTCACTTTTCTATGTTAACCTTATAGGGAAAAATAAAATATGACAACTTGCAAATTTCTGAACATATCTTATTAAAACTTGGCTTATGACTTATTTTGATTGAGGACTTTAGGATTAATGCCAAAAATTCCAGTTTTATATTCATTTTGCACAAAACTAGCACAATCCTATCCTTTACGGGAAATAATTAGTCTTTTCAACTATTAGTCCTAATGGACGTTTTGACCTTTTAAATTTAAAAATGTAAATGCTATTTTAAAAATAAGTTCTTCATAGTTAGTATAGGTTGACGTGAAAACATTTTATGGAAGAAAGTAAAATATTTTACAACTCAATCAATTTCAACAAATCTAGGAAGTGCACTAACTTGGACGCATTATTATAAACATTTAAAATCCTAACATTTACCAACTGAAGCTCATTGGGTTTCAGGAGGGATCGGATTATAAGGGTTCAGGTATTTGAAAAATCGATATTTGTTGTTATTATTTCGTAATTGATTACATTTTTTAGTGTGCAACTAAAAATAGCTTTGAATTAAATAGAATATTGGTAAACCTGTAAATGCAGTTAATAAATCATCTGTTTTGCTCGGTCAGCTGATGCAATTTTTATTGTTGCATACTTTGTTTACATTGAATTTCCAGTCCATTGTTATTGGCAGTGAATATCATGTACACTAACAGTGAATATGCAGATATGGTATTTATTTATGGATTTTGTGATGGAAATTCAAGATCATCCGTTCAAGAATACGCTAGAAGATTTCCCAATAGGCGTACGCCTAATAGGCAAGTATTTACAGATCTATTTAATCGACTAAGGGAGACAGGATGTGTTAGAAAAGTTGTCCCTGACGGTGTAGTTCAAACTCCTGTAGAGGTTGAAAATGACATCTTACACTCTGTTCAGCAAAGCCCAGGAACAAGCGTAAGAAAGCTTTCACGACAGCACCTGGTGTCTATTTCTAAAACCTGGAGAATTTTACATAATGAAGGATTATATCCTTATCACTTAAGAAAGGTTCAGGCGCTTCACGCTGGTGATACCCTAAGAAGGTCTCAGTTTTGTCGCTGGGTAGCAGGAAATCGTCACCAAATTAAGTTCATACTCTTTACTGATGAAGCTCAATTTACTCGGAATGGAATAAACAACTCAAAAAATGTCCACATATGGGCCGAAGACAATCCACATGCCACAGTGGAGACAAACTTTCAACAGAGGTTTTCGGTGAATGTTTGGTGCGGTCTTTTAAATGACAAACTTGTAGGACCTCACATCTTAGATGGTGCTCAAAACGGTGTAAGTTATCTACATTTCCTAAACAACACTTTGCCGGAACTGCTCGAAGATGTTCCCATCCAGTCAATGGCAAGGATGTTTTATCAACATGACGGTGCTCCCCCACACAGGAGTCGAGCTGTAGTTGAAACGCTGAGAAACCGTTTCGAGGAAAAACTTATTGCTCATCAAGGACCAGTGAATTGGCCCCCTAGGTCGCCCGACCTGACTCCGATGGATTACTTCCTATGGGGATACATGAAAACAGAAGTTTACAGAAGCAAGCCTCAAACAAGAGAAGAGCTGGTAGAGAAGATTCACACCGTAGCAGAAACAATAAAAAGTAATCCTATCATGATAAGAGCAGCTACATCATCTCTGGTTAAACGTGCTAGACTGTGTCTGTCTAAAAATGGAGGCCATTTTGAAAACCTCATCAGTTAAAAAAACTTTACTTCAAGCCTTCATAGTTTATATTGGCAAAAAAAGAATGATGTTTCCCTAGTTACTGTTTTTCTTCTTTAATTTGCAGTAATTTAAAGCTTATTAAAATTATTATGATACATTATTATATTAATATTAATTAAAAACATACCACAACATGTAAAACTTGGGTATACTAGGTTATAATTATTTAGTTCCAATTAAACTATGTCAAATAAAAAGTTTTAATTAAATATGTACTTAGAAATATGAGAGCTATTTTTTTTTATTTTTCCTCATAATGTTAACATAGAAAAGTGAGTGAGTATGCTTTTTTTACACCATAAAAAATGAAAAGGATGGAGGATTTTAGGCCTTTATACGAACCTTCTCAACTAGGAAAACCAATATACGAATTTTTAGTGAGGTATGTTTATAAATAAGCTAAATATACATTTTTGTTTATTCCTTCAAATTAAATTAATATGTGTTACCTTACAATATTTTTGATTTTGATAAAGATAATCCCCATAAAAGGTATACACAAGTTGATATTTTATTGTTCTCCATTAAATTCTACAACTTTTGGTAAAGTTGCAAGCCAAACGACTAAATGGTTTAAATATGAAGAGCTGTCAAAAATAAAAAAAATTTTTGGATCCTTATTTTTTCGGGAAAATTTGATTTTTTAACTCATTTTTCTCAGTGATACCCAACATGTGTGCACATAATATTTATGAAATATCTTTGTAATTTAATATTCTATCTAGCTATGCAAGTTTAATTAAAATATCTTGTAGATTTTTCAATCTAGAGGTTAAAATGTTCAACAGATACACTGAAAACCTAAAAAAACACATTTCTACGTATAACTAGAAAACGAGTGAGTTTAGGACATATGCTTATAGGACTTTTTTTACCAGTTTTGACCCCAGAAATCATTTCCTGAAGTTTGTCAGGGTTCCCGTGAAACACCCTGTATATATATATATATATAAATCTATGTAAACATTTTAACAAATAGTGTTTTTGGCCTCTAGGGACATCAAAATGGAAAAGTATATCGGTCCAGTGCCTATACCTTACCGTGCCACCTACGGTAATAGTTACTTCCCTATAGGGAAATTGGCTAATAAAGAAATAATTTTTGAATTAAATAAATTATCATTTCATAAAATATTTACACTGTTTTAAAAATAAGGCTGTTTTAGATTTTTATTTTGTATACTTGCTTCAGGAACAATATTCAAAAAGTCTAGATAAAATATAACAAGCAATAAAAAATGTTTTTGTCTTAAAAAATTGAATACAATTTATTATTCAAGTATTTCATAAGGACGTGGGTTTTTATTAACATCTGTGTAACATTTATTTTTTATGTTACCGTAAAATAGATGAGATTTATAACTGAACATTATTAACTAATGCAGGCTCAAATGAAATAAAAACCGTGTAATTAGAAAGGCCATCACAATACTTGTTTTCTCTTTACAGTCCTGGACTCTTTAGAGAAAGTGATGATTAACATTAGCACCAGATTACTACCCACTGCCCTGTTAGGTGATGTCAGTTATGTGGGTATTGTTTTTATTTCCATGCAACTTATTATTATAAAGCAATGAAAGTGCATCAAATTGCCAGTCGTGTTTGGTCATTCCTTGTAAGCAGGTAAGTTTATGTTCAAGTTATAATTTTGATACACTTATGGTATATATTCTTGTAAAAATGTGTCAAATTTTTTTAAGGTTCACTTGTATTAGAAAAGCAGGCTACGGCAGATAGCATAATTTATTATGAGGGAACTAAATACCTTTTTAATGATAGTAATTTTCTTAAATTAAATCTATAGGTTACTCTAATATGAGTAACGTTTGTGCACAATGATTTTAAAAACGGCTTCTGTGATTTCCTCCAAATTGTTAGAAATATCTTAGTTTTAGGCTAAAAACAATATCCATGCTAGGCTCTGTTCTGGGAAAATTTGTTTTTTGTTAAAAACTTAAAATCTAATTTTAATATTACAGTGGAACCTTGATAAGAAGACCCTCGATAACAAGTCGCCCTTGATAACAAGTAAGTGTGATTTTCAAATCCCCTTAAAATTATTTTACCCCTAATCACATGTCACAACAATATAACAAGCCTCGATAAGAAGTCAACCTTGATAACAAGTCTTATTTTACGATCCCCATGAGAGTCTTGTTATCAAGGTTCTACTGTATTAATAGTGAACCCGTGCGGCTCAATGTGCCGCAAAATAACATATGAATTTAGAAAACAAATTCATTGTGTTATATATTGACTCTAAGTCGAAAATAAAGTACAGTAACGAAGCCTTAGAAGGAAAGCAGTCCATCCGTTTTCTAGCTGTATATGTCTTTTATTTAGATAATAATTAAGTTGTCAAGTAATTTATAGTTATTTTTTTAAAGATACATTTAATAAAACATTATAATAAAACCAATATGTAGCATATTTGAAGAACATAAAAATGCTTCTTGAAGAAACCCCTTTTCAAAATAAACACTAAAAAATTAATTTTATTCACAAAAATACTTCCTTGAATACTACAATTAAAGCCGTTAAATCACCTCCAGGAAGATTACCCTTGTCACAATTTTCCCACCAAAAATATAAATCTATGTAAACATTTTAACAAATAGTGTTTTTGGCCTCTAGGGACATCAAAATGGAAAAGTATATCGGTCCCAATGATATGAATATTCGTGATGAATATTCGTACACCATCAAAATATGTAGCCCTAATTAAAGCAACATATACTTAACCCATTTGCATCGGCTTATTTATTTACCAAAAATACCAGTATCACTGAAACAGTAAAAAAAAATAAAAAATATTAAACTATTTTTTTATGATGTTTTATAGTATGTTATAGCTGAAAATAATAATAAAATGTATATTTGTACATATTTTTGTATTTTATATGTATATTTATATATATTTAGGATAATATTATACTATTTTTTATACTTCTCAAAAAAATAAGTGCATACCTGCCTGTATTTCATAATTATCAAATCATTCAAGGAATGTAATATTTTGCTGAACAAATTTAAATATTTACATATATATATACTCACACACACAATTTTTGTAAAGATCAACTCAAAAAAGATCAAAGATGTCAAAGTTTAGATACATAAATCATTGCATAATTTTCAATAAAAAATACCCACAGAATTGTTAAAAAATATACACACAGTATAAATGGTAATTGGAAGTACATAGAGACTAAAGCTGTAAGCGAGATGGCGTCAGTATGGCACAGAGTGCGGCACGGCACGGCGCTGTCGTGGTTGCAGCGTCGCGTCACCCATGCCTCACGTTACCATACTATAGCTCTCACTTACTAAATAACACTTATTGCATGGTTTGATTGAAATTTTGTTGTAAATACCAATAAATTTTAGTTCAGTTCCAATTATTTCAGGAAAATAAAAGAGTAAACTAAAATCATGTGTTTTATTTTTACATTTTAGGGTAGGTCAATTATTATGAAACAATGAATACAAACTGTTCAAACTATCATTTTCAAAATGTGTGGAATGCTTTGAAATTATAAATGTCCACATCTCAGGGTAAAACACGAAGAAACATTGTTCAAACTAGTAGTTTCGAAGGGTGTGATAAGCTTTGAAGTGATCAATACACAAAGGTACGTGACAAGTGTCACATTCATAAGTGGTTTCACGTATGTTACCATGAATGAACTTTGCATCGTTTGGCAGTCTTTGAACCTTTTTTCTCAGATGGTTGGAGCTTTTGAGGAAAGTGTCTTCCTTGTAGGCGCTGAGGGGGTGGGTTTGGAGGCGTATGTCTTTCAGGTAACGCAACTGCACACTCATTTATAATTTCTTCGACTAATGCTTGCCGGAAAGTGGCAAATGATCGATTTGCCTTGTTACCGTTGAGGAGTTCGTGCACTATGAATGAATTCAGCACACACATATCAATTATGTAAAAAGCAATCTTCTTGTATGATTTTGCATACCTCCTCAATATGTTATTTTGGCTCAATATTTGATCCCCGCGGTCAACCCCACCCATACTGTTGTTATAAGCCTGAATAGCTTGAGGTTTTATTTTGCTATTTCCGGTTTTCCAGCACCTTTTATTAGTTTCGCAGTAGTCCAATTTGTGCATAGTAGTAATCATGTACACGTCCTTCCTGCCAAGCCACCTTGTAACCAAAATATTTTGGAATGATCTGGCACTTGATTCGCCGACTTCCAATTTACATTTTCTCAAGTCTTTAGGCATTTTCACACGGTCACATTGATTTGTGCCACACGTGTTTGTACCAAGATTGAAGAGCTTGTGGATTAGTATCGGTGATGTATACCAATTGTCGATATAAAGGTTGTATCCTTTATGTAGGACGTCACATTGTTCACACATTTGTAGTACGACTTTCTGGCTGACCGGGAGGTCTCCAATTTTGTCCTTACCAACATAAATATCAAAACTGCAAATATATGCATTTGTTGAGTCGCATAGTTTATAGAACTTGATCCCAAACCGGGCTCGTTTTTTTGGGTTGTACTGTATATACAAAAGTCTACCGCGACACTTCACAAGAGACTCGTCAATAGAAATTTCTTGGTTAGGAATGTAATTACGGCGGAATTTACTTTCCACTAGATCAAACAGGGGCCTTATTTTGTGAAGACGATCAGTCCGGTCGATATTATTGTTGTTACAAAAATGCAAGTATTTACTTATGGCTAAGAACCGATCACGGGGCATTACATTTCCGAAAATAGGTGTATGGATCACTGGTGATCGACTCCAGTAACTTTGAATGGTCGGCTTGTCGACAAGTCCCATAAGAATACATAGTGCTATGTACACTCGGACTTCATTTGGTGTAACAGGGAGGAAACCTATAGCACCTTTTTCGATTGCGTAGGCGTTAGTCTCATTCGTTATAAGTGAAACTACTTCTTCGTCAAAAAAAGACGTGAAAACCTTGTACCTGCTGTCTCCAGCTCTTATGCCTAAATTTTGGTTTAGGCCAGGACGTCCAGTAAAATCATGAATGATTGGTGTAAAATCTTCGTTACTTGGAGGTTCGTCCCAAATCCATGTAGATTTTTTGTGATATAGTCTAGAATAGTCATCAGTAAGCGCATCGTTTTGTTCAATATCCAACATGTCAAGATCAGCATTGTCAATAATTTGGTTTCACACTTCATTTAGGCCTACATTATTTACAGGATGGCTCAAAATATTGTCATTTACAACTGTCATGTTAGCTTGGCTTTCATTTAGGGTTATGTCAAAATCAGAATCACTTACATCGTCTTGGCTGTCACTTACGTCTTCATTACCAATATTCATTATTTCATCCCAATTGTCCTCGCCAGTCTCTTCAACATCTTGACTCAAATCTTCATAACTTGACAGTAACAGTTGATCTATTTCACTATCACGTACACACTCACGATAACTTGCCATTGTTTGTAAAATGGAAAACTGCCGATCACAACATTACTAGTCACATAACTACTAAAGCGAAACTGACACTATGTCCGCAAAGATCGATCAATAAGGCGGGAACATTATAGCGGGAACATTATAGCGGGAATATTATGGCGGGAACATTATGGCGGGAACTTTTTGCAGGAACATTGTGGCGGGAACAAAAACAACACAAAATTAGAAGGAAAATATTAGTAAACAGGTGGTTGACGCGCGGGAAGACGGCTGGCGGTTGCAGGCGTTCTCGAGCCTCTGACGTACCAGTACGTCAGCCGTGATACTAGGCATTGCTGACTTGACGTACTGGTACGTCATCCGATGCAAATGGGTTAAAGTCCATGACTGAAAAATGTTTATCCTCGGAATCAAAATATGACTCCCCTCACTTGTTCCAGTTAGCACTTTACATTCTATTAAATTGTTAACCATTTTGGTCACTTGAAGCCTTGTCCGATTAATGAGGCCCTTTTATGTATTGATATTCCTCATCAATAAAACCACTGCCCCTTTTTTTAAATCAATCAGTGTCTTGGCAATCCATTGACCTCTATATTGTAAAAAAAAAAAAACTCTGTTGGTCTAGATGGGCGTTTAAATTATCTGCAAGCAAACTATCAATACTTTCGGACACCTTGGGCTCACCTGGCAATTTATCCAAGACTTTGTTGTTGGTCAAATCACAGTCACTGTTTTTTGGAGCTAAAATAGCAGTCTTTCATTTGACCATTTTGTATACTTTCAACGTTTGGGTAAGTGAAATCAACAGGGCATCCAATGAACTCCAATGAATATGTAAACAAATTAATTTTAACATAAAATGCTTGTAACAAATCATCTACAGTGCATTAGCAAATTAAAATTACTAAATACAGTACAATGGAAAAAGAACATTCCTATGAATGCTATTAAGCATTGATCATATAATACATTTAGGGTGTATGATGTATTACCATTGACTACACTACAGTAGTGTTAACTGATGATACATAACATCTGTTGACCATAATTGCGTTAGTCACTAAGATAATGGAACGTCAACGTAACAACTAATTACGGGCTCGGGGAACAACGCATCAATTCCGGTGGTCCATTGTCGAAAAACTACAAAACGTCCTTGGCCTTTCCTCTAGAGACTTTTAGTTCAATATTAGTGTATAATGTTTTG